TTTATCAATCAATTAAATAATATAATCATAATTTTTTAATTAATTAATTAATTAATTTAATTAATTATATAATTTACTTAACACTTAATCATGTAATTATGATTTAAGTAAGATTTGAAATAGAATAAGAAACTTGATTTTTGGCCGTTGAACGAATGGTGTCGACGCCTCCATGATATGTAGACACTACACCCGCGTCGAGTTTCTGGCCTCCTTTTTCAATTTCTTCAATGTTAAAATAGCATATCTAATCCTCCATCTTTTGTACAATGAGCATTTAGATCCCAAAACTCAAGATTCATTCATTTAGTCCCAAAGAGTCACCATTTTTCTTGCAATTCAGTCACTCAACTTTCAGAAGATGTTCAATTAATCTCAAAAACTTTTATTTTTATGCATTCAAATCTTTTTCTACACAAAAAAATGAAAATCATGTAAAATCTCATAAAATTGATCCAAATATTAATAATACCAAAGTAAAAATTTTACATTAATATATATAAATTTAAGTACCATTTTGGTCCCTTAATTTTTTACTTTAGCACCAAAATTATCTTTTCATTTTAAAAAATATTAAAATTATCTTTAAATTTTTATTTTTGATACCAAAATGTTCTTTCTGTTAGTTAAGTAACAGGTGATACGTTAATTTACTAGTAAATCAATGACATGAAAAAAAGAAAACATAATTGGCCTTCTTTTGTATGAGTTGACATTTATATTTAATTTAAAAATAATGATATCTTTTTTTTCTCATTCACGTCATCTCTTCTTACTCCTTCACTTTCTCTCTCCTCTACCTTTCCTTATCCCTTACCTCTGCAAACCCAGATCTGGGTTTTTTCTCAAACTTTATCTTCTTCCTCCTTTCCTTTCCCTGCTCATCCTTCTTCTTTCTTCTTCTTATTCTTTCTCTCTCTCTTTTCCCTTCTTCTCAAACCCAGATCTAGGTTCTCAAACCAACCCAAATCTGGGTTCTTAAACCAGCATCGAATCCAGTTTGTTTCGAGCTTCAAATACTATTTGTTTCGTTGAATTTTTTGAGCATAGATCGAAATTCACTTTGGAAAGAAAGGTTATAGAAATGGATGTTGACTCGTGGAGTGCTCGTCTCTTTTCCTCTTCAAGGAGATATCAGTTGGCTTTTCAATCGCAATCTAGTAAGCTCTCTTGAAAGAATAGCAAAAGAAACACCAACAAAGTTCAACCCAAAATATCCAACCACCGAAAACCCAAGAGCACACAAACAAGAATTCCCCCCATAAATGGAGATTAAAGCTTAAAACTCTAATGATTCCTCAAATTAATCCCACATTATTTCTGCTATGAAAACTAGCAAGGGAAATTAATGAAGAAGAGGGAAACATAGACCATGTGATGGAAGGAAAGGGAACGCGACAGAGATGGAGAATATTGGAGAAACCCAGATCTGGTTTCTTGCTTCTATTTAAAGTCACATGAGCTGCAAGTCCTTTGATCCACTGATGCCTCCAACCTCTTCCTCCTCTGCATCCCAGCTCACAGCCGTTAATTCCTCTTCACCTCCGACCTCGTCTCTGATGGAATCCACAATCTGTTAAGTGGCTTGCCTTACCTTCTCCTCCGCTTGTTCATGCCATTTGAAGGCATTTAAAGGGATTGATTTTAGATAAGTTCTTCAAAATACCATAAACTGAACTCCTTCAAAAAGCGGGGAGCGAGCGACCGTCGGAGGCGATAACCTTATCTACATTATAGAACAAAGGACAGGTACTGGAACCAAGCTAGAGTGGTGGGCATAAGCGAAGCAACCCAAGATGCTGAGCCTCTCAATTCTTTCTCCAACAACAGTTACTTTCCTCACAAAACCCATATCTCCAATTCCCAAATCTTTGTTCAGTGGAGTTAAAATCCAGCATTTCTGTTCCGTTCCGGTTGCTACTCGAGCGTCCTTGTCGCCATTTTCTGCAGAGGAGTCGTCCTATGAAAACATTGCAGGGGCAAAGCTGTTTAGACAAGGTTCCGACCATGTTGTGGTGGATTTTTGTAGAGAAGTTTTTAACAAGATCAAACTTCTCTATAAAAATCCATGTTAACAGAGTTACGGAAGCCTAACTTCTTCAGATCGTTAATTTTGTGTGATGAAACCCAGATTTGGGTTTGAGAGAGGAAGAAGAAGGCTAGGAAAGAGGAAGGCGCAGAGGGATGAGAGAGAGAGAAGAAGGGAGGAAGAAGAAGAATAATATAATAATAAATTATGTGGGTTTTTATTTAAATAAGAAAAAAATACCACATGAAAAATGAAAAATGCCATCTGATCAAGTTTATTTTTCAGTAATTATTATTTTTTTAAAAATGTGATTTTGTGACAAAATAACGTGTCACTTGTGTATTTAACTATCGAAAGTATTATTTTGATACCAAAAATGAAAATTTAAGGATAATTTTAGTATTTTTTAAAGTTGAGGGACAATTTTAATCTTAAAGTGAAAAGTTAAGAGACCAAAATGGTACTTAAACCATATATATATAAATTCAGCTCATCAATATGTTATTATGATTTATTAATCAATTAACTATAAAAATTATAATTAATTATAATTTTAAATCAATTAATCTATTTAGTTAATTATATTGTACTTATTAATTAAATATTATAATTATAATTTATTAATCAATTAATTAATCAGTATAATCATAATTTCTCATTCAATTAAAGAATATAATAATAATTTACTAATCAATCAATTAATCACTATAATTATAATCCATCAATCGATTAAATAATTTAATTATAATTCTCTCTAATTAATCAATTAATTAATTAATTATACTTTACTGATTAATAATCACAAACTTTTTTAATTCTTTCTAAATTAAATTTCTAAAAAAATAAAGAAAAAAATTTATACAACATACTCGAAATGTAATAGGGAATGGGGAATCTTGCAAAACAGATTTTTCATGTTTGTTTCGGTCAATGTGCCTAACCAAAACATGCAGGAAAAGCTGTCCTGCAAAAAGCAGTGTATATTTCGATCATGAGAACTGACCGAACCACTCCCAACATGCTTGAACTGTCACCAACTCCAGTCAAATCACTTACAAAACACTGTTTTGGTCAAAATTTTCAACCAAAATAGTAAAAAAAAGTTGATCACTACTATTCAAGTTACTGTGTAGCTTTTTATTTCGGTCAAAAAATTTGACCGAAATTATGCAAGATTATAACCGTGACTTGCTTTATGTCATATCAATTCAAAGTTTTTTTTCGCCATTTTTCTTGACCGAATTAATAATATTTTATGTTATTTTTTAATATTTAATGTTGAAATAAGTGGAGATTTTTTTTCTATTTTTATTTGGTTAGTGTAGTTGATTGAATAAATTCTTTTTGATGATTCAGTCAAGAAATTTGACCGATTTGTTTTTGTGCCAAATTAATTCAGTCAAAGTTTTTAACTGAAATCATATCAGACCAAATTGTATAAGTTTTTCCATTTTTTTCGGACAAATCTTATATTCGATCATTTTATTTGTCCAAATTAGTCCTTTTTTCAGTCAAGAAATTTGCTTGACCGAAGTGCTATGACCGAAATAGGCAACTTTCTAGTAGTGAAACTTTAGCATGAATTTATGTTGGTTAAATGCTAGATTTGGTCCCTCAACTTTAGTGGTTTGCACATTTTTGGTCCCTTAACAATTTTTTGCACTTTTTTGATCCCTCAACTATACGAAATGCACTCCGTTAGTCCTTC